AGAGAGAGAGAGAGAGAGAGAGAGAGAGAGAGAGAGAGAGAGAGAGAGAGAGAGAGCACGATGAGCACGTCGTGTGCCGTCGCGTGCCATCGCTTGCCGTCGCTTGCCGTCGCGTGCCGTCACTTGCCGTAGCGTGCCGTCGCGTGCCGTCGCGGCCGAGACAATTGAGAGGGGCAGCCGAGGCCGAGACAAATAAGAAGCCCACCCCTTCGAAGGGCGATTTCAGGGCTGGGCGCGGGCGCGCGTTCAGAAGGGGCGAACCGGTATCGCACGGCCCAGATTGCGGGCCGGTCACCACCCGCGGACGGCCCAGATCGCAGGCCGATGAGAAAAGTTTCTCATCGGCCTGCGATCTGGGCCGTCCGCGGGTGGTGACCAGCCCGCAATCTGGGCCGTGCGATATGACGTTAGCGGTTTTTATATTATTGTAGATGTAGAAGTGCATTAAAAAGTTCCCATCATACTTGCAGTGCATCACATGCACGCCGGTTGCGCACGTGGCGTGCGCACCCAGTGCGCCACAAGGGCAAAAATTCCAAAAATAGTGCAATGATCCCCGTAAGATCCAACTCAAAATACCACATGCAAACTGGGAGCATTCAGATAAAGAACTCACAAGCTTGGGCTATGGCCATGAACAGTGCCAATTCAAAATTCCACTCAAAGTACAAATAATATACAATTAAAAAGGTCCGGGACTGGGCGGTCTCAACCGCTGCAACACACTCCGTACCCGACTTTCTCCCCCTCCGATCTGGTTCTTCTCTCCGTCTCTTCCTCTCTATCTCTCCAGTCACATCTCTGTAGTGTTCATTCTGTGATGCCCCCTGCTACTGTTCCTCCCTCTACAATGTCCTGGATCTACCCTGAATGCCTCTGCGGTGTGCCTCACAACAACGGGCAGCTATGGCCGCCAAACACTTCATCTCCCCCTCTCCTGGCTATGGTGGTCTGTCGCAGCCAGGGCGCTGGTCTTCTTCCTCCCTTCAGCGCACTTCTTCGTCCAGGTCGCTAGTCCGCACAAGCTCCAACAGCTTCCACAAATTTGCGAAATGACAACTGACTATCCTCCGGCACTGTAGCCCACAATATCTAGTTGAAGTGGGCTGTGTGTGCCAGGTTCAATCGGTACTGGCCTCCTTCAGCCTCTGCCTTGCCAAGTTGCTATTTTGGGAAAGTTCCCAACTTCCGTTGGTAGGCTGCTGCAAATTTTGTACTTTGGGGACTGGCATGCTCCTACAGGTACTGTGAACACTGACCTGCGACTCCTACACCTACAGACCCTAAGATTCAGCTACCGGTAGGGTTTGGGGACTGCAATAATTGGGGACCCTGGAGCAGGGTCTGAGAAAATTTGCAGTGTGAATCCATTCAACAGGGGTCCTCCCAAAAAAGACAGTCGGGGGGAGAGGTGAATCAAAGTGTCCCGGCCTAGCAAAATTAAGTGATGGCTCGCGCAAACTTATTTTGCGGCTGCGCTCGACATCTGTGTCTGCCAAGGAAAAAAATTGCGAGTCCCCGTAGTGTCAGTATGGGACTTGCTCCAATACTCACGACAGGCACAAAAGACAAAAGTCATGGCAGTGTATGTTTCCATGTTCTAGCTGAAGATTCACTCTCGTTTTGCGCATTTGGAGAGTACTGGAGTGAGGCCGTACGAGGGCGAGCAAGGGCAGGTGCAACTTCCCTACTTCCAGAATCAATTCAACTTAGGGCCTCGCCTTTTGCACAAAAGAGAAAAACCATGGCAATGTATCTTTCCCTGTTGTAACGAAAGATTCATGCCCCTTTTGCACAATTGGAGAGTAGCGGGGCGAGGTCCTTACCTACTGCCAGAATCCGTGGTGTATCTGTTGCGTCTGGCATCAGAATGACTACTGGCCTAGCCCAGTCGGTACACAGATAGCCTCCCTGCACTGCACGCGCCAGGACATCTGTTGAAATGGTCCGTTGTGCATTACCTGGGGCCTCACTCCGCTAGTCAAACATGCACAAAAGACAAAAAATACGGCAGTGGATCTTTACATGTTCTAGCGGAAGATCCATTCTCAATTTCCCCATTTGGTAAGTAGCAGAGCGATGGCCCTGCGCTCTCCATCCGCTCTCAACCACCCACCAAATGTGTAAATGAGAATGAATCTTTCGCTAGAAGATTGAAAGATACATCGCCATATTTTTTGTCTTGTGTGCATGTGGTGAGACCAAACAATCGCCCGGCATCCAGATTTCATGTTGGCTGTTGATAAGCGCTGATTCTTCGGTCCGATAGTATCAGCATACGGGTGTGATGATGTCCACGCACAGCAAAACAAAAACGGCTGGCTCGCTTTTTCTTTTCCCTGTTTTCTCTCTGCGGTAATCACACACACACACACACACACACACACACACACACACACACAAACAGGGGGAAAAAAAGCCATGGCCCACAGTGCACAGCAGCGCATCTTGATGAGCTGCACACACGGCACACCTGGCGAGCGCGCGGGCACACATGCGCGTGCAGTGTCATCGAGCGCATTCCGCACGGCGAACCGCACCAGTGCGCCACAAATATGGTTTCCATCCAGGCAACAATAAAGAGCGTGTGGATGATGGACC